TCATAGATTTAAAAATAACGACTAATTTATTAAATATTAATAAAAGTAATAAAAAATTTTATTTTTATTTTTTACCATTTACTTGAAAAACTTCTAATTCATCAAAAATACTTTCATTTTTTATATTGATGTTATTATAGGTGTTTACATTAACGCGGATTTTACCATCTTTATTAAATATCAGATCTTTACCAGCACCAAATCCAGGTAAATCGGTAGGCTTACAATAAATTGCTTGTTTTTTATCCTTAACATAACTATGCAGTGCGCTATTAATATCATTTCTATTAATATTAAATATAAAGCTTTCATTTGTTTCTTTGTGTTGATCTCCACCCCAATTAAGTGGATTATAGCCACCGATTAATTGTTCTGAATTTTGTATTTTAGCAACCACAAGAGTTTTGTTGTTATTGCCACATTTTTCATGGAATTTCTTCTCGTCTAAGCCATCTCTACTGCTACAATATAAAAGCTTAAATTCATATTTTACGTCTTCGACTGATTGATATGTTGGACTTTTCCTATCAATCCAGCTTGCAAAAGGCAGTGTGTGCCTTCGATCAATCGTATGTGAGCCAGCAATATCTGGCTTTCTCGATGGCAGTGAAGATGAATTTAAGATCGGTTTTTCGTCATAAAGCACATAATCGTGCAAAATATTTTTCCAAACAGCTTTTGGAAATAAGTCTTGATATGGCTCTATTTTGTTATAAAAATCTTTTCTAGAAATATCTTTGAATCTAATTAAGTTAATAAAATCTTTTAATGTTTTTCCTAGCTTATCGAAATCCTGCAAACCCCAATGTTCTTTTCCATTAATTTCTGGATGTTTTGCTAATCCCCATTTAAGAAGGTTTTCCCATACTTCAATTTCGTTAACGATAAAATCGTTTTTTTTAAGAATTTCTAACAAAATTGGTTTTTCCAATAATTTGAATTCATCCGAATTAAATAATTTTCCACTGTCAACACATATTTTCTGTAGGCAAACAGCTTTTAAATCGCAAAATTTTTTATTCGTGTAAATTCTACGTAGAATTTTAATTTGATTTTCATTTATAAAATTTTGATGTTTTTCAATAAAGTAATTCATTGTGTATTTATAAAATGACTCGAGACCAAGTTCATCAATTGAAATCAATAAGTTGAATATGTCTTCTCCAGTGCAACCATCTAGTTCGATTTTGCAAGCATACAGGAACCTATTATGATATATACACAAGTATTAATATTATTAAAAATGATTTAAAATGGTTTAATAAATAATTTGGTAAACTTACTCGAGAATTTTTTTAAGCACAAACTCATTAAAATTTGATTTTTCAATAATGTAGTAATTTTTTTCTTTCGTGGCATTTGCCAAGACATCTTTAAAAAATGGGCATTGAGTGAGCAAAATTGGGGAGTGGGCGTGAATTTCTTTGACGTCTGTTTTTTCTCCAACACGAATCTTTACGTCATAGTTCTCTTCTGATACCAATAAATTTTCCATATTATGAAAGTGTTCTGCTGCTAAGGTTTTATATTCCATTATTCTTTTAAAAAATGTTTCTTACGAAAAGGATAGCAGTAACCCACGAAGAAGATATGTATTATTTATATATCTAAATAAATTTGATTATAAATCAGGAAATATTTTGGTTGCGGGCTCTTAAGCCCACTATTACATAATTTTTGCATAATTTTTGGATAATACTTGCTATTTATTTTATTATTATTGCCTAAATATCAATTTACTACGAATAGCTGGATAGGAAAAATTTTATTTTTAATTTCCTTTCGGAGAAAACATTGATTAATCTTTGCAAAGGATTTTTTTATAATTAAGAAAAGTTAATAAATTTTTGCTCAACACAACGAATAAAAATATGACTAGCTAATATTGATGCTCCGAACGAATATATAGACACTTCACATTTGAATGTAACGTGTAAAGCTGAATCATATATAGAAGACCATTTTAGCACTACGTACCTCGACCCTCAAATCCGAATGCAACGTAAAAAAGTAAAATAAATACACCCTTTTTTGCATTTTTTTTAGGGGTAGCGGGTCTATTTATATGTTTGTGGTAATTTATCAAACTAATCAATCAATGCATGAAATAGTCTATTTTATAAAAATTGCATCATTGATCATGAATAACATGATAGGATGCCAAGGTGCTTCTCATTCAATGCTAATTTTGATGCTCCCGAACTAATTTTGTTTGACAAAATGTTGCCACGTCAGATTTGCTGCCATCAATTCAAGTGAATTGCTTTAAAGGCTAATAAAATATAAAGGCTCACAAATCTCCTTTGTTTCGTTAAAGGTGCCAAGTTTTTCTTTGGTTGAATACAAAAGTTTAATTCACACACACTCATTTACTACTAAACTCGAATATCTCTTATATTAATAACGTGATACATGATCGGAGTAGATAAAATCATCGATTAGGGATTCGGTATTTTATGTTCCAAGGTCAACTAATTTTAGTGTATAATTATTACGAAAATTTTATGTCAAAGCTTTTATAATTATTATCAAATTGTAATCATGAAGATTGATCAAATTACTTTGCAATAATAGACCCATCTTTATCTTTATCCTTATTGTAGTGATCAATGAAAATTTCATTAAGGATAGCTTCTGGTTCTCGCAGAAAAAAAATAATAGATAATTAACATTCTAATAAAATAAAACTCTGATAATCATTATTTAATAAACTTTTAAAAATAAAAACAAAAAAACATTGTCTTTATTTAAAGCACTTTGATAAAAGTAGCCAGTGTAGTTGGTGCCTTGGTAAAAAGTAACAATCGTGGAACTCTGGTGAAAAGTCACGTTTATTTGCTTTAGTGAGTAAGCAAAGGTTTGGACTAACGTTGGTTAACTAGTAGGTATTGATGAAGTAATATTATTGTAGTCATAAACATAAGGCTATTTATTAAACAAGCTACTTAGGTTGTTTTGCAAGTAGAATTGAAATTGGTCAATAAATGTAAACAAGAGCAAAACAACTGAAACAGATCGATCATAAGTGAATAAAAGGAACCTTATAGCATTCAAAAGAGCCATCTGGTACAATTAAGTGTGCTCCAAAACGATACCTTGCAATATCACCATTTAACAAGAAACAAAAAATTGTAAAAGTTTATTATTTCAAAGTACTGGTTACAAGATAAGAAATAAAATAAGGATGAAATAAAAGATAAATAAAAGAAGATAATAAATTTATAGTGGAGATTAAATTAGTCATTCATTGGATCTTTTCTTTTACTAGAATTTAATGTATTAATTAATATTGTTGGTAATAATTAATGGATAGTAATTTCCAATCGATTAATAATGAAATTTTTATTTACCTTTGTTAACATTTAGAGAAAAGAGTTACAATCAAGATTATTCAACGAACTATCATTACTTGTATAAATTTTTAAGCTTCTAGATTTAGCAATCTCTTCATCTAATATTCTACTTTTATGATATGCATCTGGATGTGATTTGTGTGCTTGTTGCGAAGTGCCACTACCACTGCTAGTAGTATTATCATCATCATTATTTTTAATAATTTCATTATGTTTATTATAAGCAAAGTCATCCAGCTCTCTACTAGTTGGTCTTTTTGATGGATCCACGTCCCAACACCTCTGCATCATTTGTGCATAATCGTCAGGCATTTCAGGTAATATTGGTGGTCGTAAACCTTCACATATATCAAAAATCAAATGATGATTGTGAGCTCTATCATCAAATGGCGGATGACCTGCAAATATTTCCCACATTAACATCCCAACACTATAGATATCAGTTTCTTTTGTGTTCTTTGTATTATTGCCTCTAAGTAGCTCGGGTGCAATATATGATACAATTCCATAGACTTTATTTGATGACTTTTCATCAACTGGTCCACATAATCCTAA